GACCGTCGCCGCCGTCGCTGCAGCAGCAGCAGCAGCAGCAGCAGCAGCAAATGCTGCTGCTGCCTTCCCCTGGAGCCTCTTGTCCACAGGTTTAAAGCTGCAGATCTCGAAAAGGTAAATGCTTCACTTCAACTGTCTCTAAGTACCTTTTGGGGGCCCCCTAAGAGCAAAAGGGGCCCCACATGGGGCCCCCCAAGTACCCAAAGGGGGCGGCCAAAGGCCAAAAAGGGGGCCCCTAAAGGTCAAAAAGGGGGCCCTCAAAGGCCAAAAGAGGGGCCCCTTTAAGAGGCTCCTCACTGGAGTTTTCCCGTAAAGACTTCTCGAGAAGTTCTCCTTCAAAAGCCCTATTTGGGGCCCCTTTTTCTAGTACCCTTTTTTGGGGGCCCCTCCTTGTGGGGCCCCACATTGTGGGGCCCCACCTGGGGGGCCCCCCCGGGGGGCCCCACCTAGGGGGGCCCCCAAGGGGGGCTCCCTGGGGGCCCCCTTGAGGGTCTTTGAGGCTGTTGGGAGTCAGCGCTGCTCAGGGGCCCCCACATGAGGGGCCCCAAAGCTGCACTGACTTGAGGAGCCTTCGGGGTCCCCGGGGGCCCCCAGAATGATCCCCAAGGGGCCCCTGAGGGCCCCCAAGGGGCCCCATAGGGGACCCTGAGGGGCCCCTGAGGGGCCCCTGAGTATTTGTGTTGAGTTGGAGAGTCTGTGTTATTTTGTGGTTAATATCTTTTGTCCTTTTTATCTGCTTCATTCTTTTGTGTCTTTTGTTTCTTACAAAATTCTTTTTTGTCTTTTTCATTTCTTCAAAAGAAGTTTTGCTGCGCTGCAGGGAGTTGCTGTTGCTGCTGACGAAGGAGACGCAGCAGCAGAGACGCACGCCCTCGTCAGCTGCGGCCCGCCCAATTATGGGGTCTACAGTAAGCAGCAGCAGCAGCAGCAGCAGCAGCAGCAGTAGCAGCAGCAGACGACCAGCAGCAGCAGCAGACCAGCAGCAGCAGAGCAGCAGCAGCAGCAGAGCAGTCGCGCAAGTCTATTGTGTACACTGCACTCTTTTCTGTCCGCGCCAGCCTTTTTCCCATAAAT